GGGGGAGGGCGCGGAGCTCTCGCGGTGCTCCTCAGACGGCGATGGCGGAGGGCAACGGCGGAGGGCGGGCGTGGAGCTCTCGCGGTCCTCCTCAGATTATTTTTATTCGTTTATAGATAGCATAATTTTGGATGTAAAAAAAAAAAGGGAAGGTTTTCAAAGACCTACAACATGCCATGTACTTTACAGGCTTGCTCCTCAGAACAACTCTCTGCCATGGGTTAGCACTGCCCCGTTTATAAGTGAAGAAACAAGAAACAAAGTATAAGAATTGAAAAATGTAGAAAGAAAAAAGTGACAGAAGATTTATCCTATCATCAGGTCTACATACCTGGTACTTCTAGCAGCAAAAAGTAAAGCCCAGCAGCGTGAAGGCCATATTCTCGATACTGTACACTGACATTTGTCTTATGAACTATTTGAACAAAATGATAGAACAATGCCACCAGTGTACTATGGGAAACATTGTTCTCAATGAAGAAGGTCCAGACACTCTGTGGGGAGAGGGCAAATCACAAAAGCCAGTCATCAGAGAAATGGAAACATCAATTATTTGATTTTTGTAAGTTCTTGGTGCCTTACAAAAAGAGGAATAGACTAGCCTGGTTCCTATTGCTAAATGTTTACCATCTTCAAAGGGACTGAAAATATCAAAATTAAAAATATATTATCCAAAATTACAAAGATAAATATGTATATAACATATTTAAATAATTAAACTTTCAAAAGAATTTTTGGTTAAGTTTGTAGCATATAAACTTCAGAAATTACAGTTTAAAACTACACTAACACTTTTGGGACACCATATATTAGCGATTATTCAGAAAAGTTAATCCCTCTATATTAAAAGGAACTCAAATCCGTTTACCAATAATCACTGAGGAAATCAGAGCCTTTTATTTAAATTTAAATGTTCCGCAGATTGCACGCAATGGGAGCAGGAAATGAAAGAGATCTCAGAAATAGCCCAGGTAAAGGAGATACACCCTAGGAAAGAAACTACAATTTTACTAATTCTATCATCATTCCATGTCTTCTCCTACTAAACACATGAAGAAGAAATGGGTTATTTTAATAACCTAAACATAGGAACTAAATATGGTTTATCCTTGAGTACCATAACAAAAAAAGGCCCACAAAATTCAAGTGAGCAGGGCACTCTCTTTTCCTTAACTAAAAAACCTGTGGGAGAAATCATCTCCACAGGGCACAATGGCTCATGCCACAGGGCACAATGGCTCAAATCCTAGCACTTTGAGAGGCCAGGGCAGGAGGATTGCTTGAGCCCAGGAGTTTGAGACCAGACAGGGCAACAAAGAAAGATCTTGTCTCCACAAAAAATAAAAAATTAGCTGGGCATGGTGGCACACACCTGTAGTCCCAGCTACTCAGGAGGGTGAGGTGGGAGGCTCATTTGAGCCCAGTAAGTTGAGGCTGCAGTAAGCTGTAACTGTGCCACTGCATTCCAGCCTGGGTAACACAGCAAGACCCTGGTTTCAAAAAAAAAAAAAAAAAAAGGAAAAAAGAAATCATCTCCTGCCTTCACGTCCTCATTCCACCAGGCTGATTCAAGACCCTAAACCCTCTGCTCGCCAGAGCTCTGTGTATGGGGTCACCTTGGCCCCATGTGATCCCACGGCTGCTGTCTCTAGTCTGGGCGTCAGTGGCCCTGCACTCCTTACACTTGACTGCTCCTCCACAGACCCCTTCCAATCAGCTCTCCATTTCTGTCCTGGCTTCTGCTCCCCCTCGGTGATCTCATGCATCACTGTGCTTCAACCCATACCTCCATTAAAGAATTCCCCTCTCTCTCCTGGTCTCACATTTCTACTATCTGTTTAACTTCCCAAGGATCTCCTCACAGAATCTCAAGTTCAGAAGTCTAAACAGAACTGTTTCTCCATCTGACCTTGCTCTTTTTCCCTCATTCCCCACCTTGGTTAACAGAGTCATCATCTTCCTAGTTTTGAAACCCTGGGGATCACTGACTTCTTTCTTTTTGTAACTCCCTATGCCCAGTCAGTTTAGCACTTCACACCATGTCTTTAAGATATCTCACAAAGGCTTCCTAGTTCACAAGGCCCTATTAATTCTACCTCCAAAATGTCCCTAGTTTTTAGTCTTCCTTTCCAGTTCCCAAAATCGTAACTCTGGACCATGCCATTACTACTACTAACACCTGGATCACCAATACAGTCTCCCAAGGGCTCTCCCTGCACACAATTTTTTCCCACTTCAGTCCACCTACTGTCAAGAACATCTGCTTAAAACAGATCTATTCATGTTACCTATCTATTGCTCACTGTAACCTCTTTCACACAGGGCTGCTTGTGAGGATTAAATGAGTTAATCCCTGCAGGAAGCTTAGAACAAAACCTCATACACACTCTACCAAATATGTTCAAACTCCACTGCCGAACCTCACGTAAAGCTACCCATGACCTACCCTTACTCTACCTTACTGTCCCATCCCACCACACACTTTTTTTTGTATGCCTCTTGACAATTCCTGCATGTTCCCATTGGGTGGCTCCTTCACTAGGACTGCCTTACAACCCAAGCTTCTGCTAGTCATCTGTGAAGATTCACTGCTGGCCACTTTCTTTCTGGAACCTTCCCAACTCTACCATGCTCCCTTTTTCACACCCTATGCAACAAATCTGCACCTCTCTTGGAGCATTTTTCACAGTGTGGTTCGTAGACTATTTCCAGGCGCCCAAATGCCCAGTGGCACTGTACTCTCCACCCCCTGCAGCTGCATGTGGCTGCTGGACCTAATTTGGTTAGTGTTCAAATGTCCACTCTTCCTCCCTGAGGTCCCTGGGGGGGACTTCAACCTAGGGAGATTGTTTCTTAATCCCTACTGTCAACTCAGGTACTTAAGGCAGTGCTTAGCGTTATGCTGAAGGAATGTTTAATTAGATGATTTAATTTTGTGATGTGAAACTTGGAAGTGAAATTCTTTTTGTTCATTTAAATGTTTCAGAGATGTTAATATCCAATTAACTTTTGTTCTGTTTCCCAACCCTTTGGTTTCTTTGAAAACTAACAACTTAAATAATAATTTATATTTCTATGTACTGGATATAACTCAGTATTTACAGGAACTTTTTGGACAAACCTGTTAATTCAACTAGTCATTCCTCAGTTTAGTAATACCAGATTTTCTTTTTTTTTGAGACAGAGTCTCGCTCTGGCGTCCAGGCTGGAGTGCAGTGGTGTGATCTTGGCTCACTGCAACCTCTGCCTCAGCCTCCCAAGTAGCTGGGATTACAGACGCACGCCACCACTACCGGCTAATTTTTGTATTTTTAGTAGAGACGGGGTTTCACCATCTTGGTTAGGCTGGTCTTGAATTCCTGACCTCGTGATCCACCTGCCTCGGCCTCCCAAAGTGTTGAGATTACAGGTGTGAGCCACTGTGCCTGGCCGCAGATTTTCTTAAAGTTAAGGTTAAGGGCACGTCTGAATTGTTATTTGCATTTTCCTTGGTCTAGTTTTCTTGTTTTTGCCTTTATATTTTTCCTTTTTTTTTCTTCTGAGATGGGGTTTTGCCATGTTGCCCAGGCTACTCTCAACCTGAGCTTAAGCAATTGGCCAGCCTCAGCCCCTCAAAGTGCTGCGATTAGACGTGAGCTACCACACCTGGTCTTATACTTTTCCTTTAATTTGCTATTGTAAAAAACGGTTGTGTCTTAAAAAAAAAATCAGACGAGTACCTTGAACCTTCTGGAGGAAAGTTCTTAGGATATTCCAATAAATTAACCACATTCTTTATGTTACTCATATTGTACTCCCTGTGAATTGTACACCAAGAAAGCTAAGTTTTAGATTATAATGACTTTCATCTTCTACTGCTAACACCAAAATTTGGCTAGTTTGTTTTTATTTTTTACCTCCATAGATCCATGTTCTCCAGTAGCAAAGGGTAAAAGGCTTTCATAGAGTTTTGTGAATGCATCCAATCCAGTCTCTATGATCTCTGCTTCTATGCTGGGATCCAAAGGCTCAGTCTCTGTGAAATCCAGTTCCCACACTGTGTCAACCCATTCTAGGGGAAAATGCAATGAAATTTGTAAGTACTCCGTAACAAGTGAAAAAACTAATCACTTTAGATTCCAGGTATGTTCAAGAGGAAAAAAGTTTATTAGTCACAGTTCACATTTAACTTGTTTTAATAATATAGGTGTAGCATAATAAAAGAAAACCAGAAAAGGTTAAGAGAATCTTAAATCACAACTGACACTGGCTATTAAGCTAATCATCTTCTAAGAATATAAAGAAGGAAACACTTTTAAGAGTTTTGGGAAAGGACACTTCAAAACATTTAGTGATCAGGCTTTCCCATTTGTTCAATCTAGAGAAGAAACAGAGGTTAATCAGATTGCCCAAGATGTTCCTTTGTGAAAATATCATAACCAAGTTAATAAGTGGAAATAAAATATATAGCACTTTATTGGGCCCTTGGACAATAATGTAGCATTTAAAAAACAGACATAATTTCCCCAGGAAGTTTAAAATAGATGAGGCAAGCCAGATTCAGACTCACAGAAATCCTTGGTGACTTTAAAATACACTGATTGAAAGAATGTACATTGACAGGAGGGATATTAAGACGGCATGCTGGCTGGATTCCTTATCAATCTCTCTTAACTCTAAATCTTCCCATTCTTTTTTTTTTTTTTGGATAAACTTTTTTTTTTTTTAACTTATACTTTAAGTTCTTGGGTACAGGTGCACAACATGCAGGTTTGTTACATAGGTATACACGTACCATGGTGGTTTGCTGTACCCACCAACCCATCATCTACATTAGTTATTTCTCCTAATGGTATCCCTCCCCTATCCATCCACCCCTCCTTCCCATTCTTTTCTAATAAAGTATATTTCTTCGGTGTTTTCATTGTTATTTTCCCAAACTAAAATTAGGACTAGATGGAAATCTGGACATCTCAAATTATTAATCAGGTGTTCCTTCAAATTAGCATTAAAAGTATTTGCTCACTGCTGATTTAGAGAAGTTGGACAAGGTATAAATAAAGAAAAAACAGAGATGGGAGCATTACAACGCACTCAGCAAATGAAAATAAAAGGCCTTACACTCAACTAGATCCATCCTTAGAATACAATCTGCTCATCACCTTTTGTCACTTGAACTTGACCCTGGAGGAGGGAGTCTCTGTACCCTAAGTGGCTGTGCACAGCATTCCTTCCAAAGACATGCAATATGCTGCCTGAAAGAAGATCTGAAAAACACAATCGTATCTTTCTAAATTTCCAATAATGTTTTAAAGGTCATCATAGACCACAGCAAAAGTTATCTCACTCCTTTTGGTCTTGCTTATAATCGTCCCCTACTGTAAATACCATCAAATCTAATCTGGATGGCAGTAACTGGCCCTGTTATCTACCACTTGGTCACAGAAGTCTTCAGTGTTGATTGCTGAGTGAGAGTACAGGAGACACTGAGTTAGATTATTTTTCCTCAATATCTTTACACTATTCAAATCCCTCACTACCTATTTTCTCAGTTGTCGAATGCAGGTAACTTCTGCTCTACTTCACTTAGGATGGAAGAAAAGGAAGAAATACATCACTTATTTACTCAACAAACACTTTGAGAAAATACTAGGGAAGCCACTTACACTTCTAGGGATACAAAGATGAATACTAGAGGGTTCTTGTCCACAAAGATCTCAACATTTCACACTTAGGATACCAAAAAAAGCAGCCTATGATAGAAAAGAGAGCACTGAATTTTGAGTCAGAACAAGGCAAATATCCTGACTTGATCACTTACACGTAATTAGTCTCTCCTTCATCATTGGAAATCCAAGATTTTTGTGAAAGATAATGTGTATAAAGGCCCTAACAATGTGCTAACCACATAAAAAGCAGTCAATAGATGATGTTTATTATTTTTGCAATGGATGAGCGTTAAAATAATAGATACGTAAAATGTAAAACGCCACAGAGCTTAATAGGGAATATTACTGGAGGAGGAGGAAGAGGCAGAGGAATAAGATGATTCTTCAATTGGACCTGAAAGAGTTTTGCCAGGCAAATAAACGCAGAAAAGTGCACCCCAGCAGGCACAGTGTAACAAAGCACAAAGGGAAAGAAATTAAAGTGTTTTGAAATGAACAAAATTGTTATAACACAGTTTGCTCGTGGGTATTAGTATCTATTCAGCAGTTATTATGTAGCAGGTACAAAATTTATCTTTACAAAAACCTCTGTGGGGTAGATATTGCACTCCTCATTTGACAAATCAGAAAACAGGGGTTTAGCAAGGAGAAGTAACTTGCACGGTAACACATGGATGCTATGGGGTACAGCCAAGGGAGCAATCCCAGTGTGTCTGACTCCAAAGGTTATACTCTTGAAAAATCAAACTGGAGAGAATGGCAAAGACTTATAAAGTATGCCAAGGATCTGGTCATTTATTTAGGAAACAAAGGGGAAACATTAAAAGTGTACAGGCTTGACACATTCAAAGCTGTGTTTTCAAAAGTCAGTCTGCAAAAGTGTGGGGGATGGGCTGGCACAGTTAACATCAGAAAGCAGCTAAAATACTCCTGCAATTGCTCGAGGCTGACTATGATGAAGGCAGTAGCGCCAGGAATGGAGCGGGTCGGCCCTGAGACACCTCGGAGGCAGGACAGTGGTGGCAGGCATGAAAGGGGAAGCAGAAATGCCATGACTCCTGGGTTAGTGGCTTGGATAGTGCCATTAGCAGGCTTTGGGAATCCCATTTTCACTCATGTGACGTGTGATGATGTCTGCATGTGAGACATCCAGTTGAACCTATGAACATGAAGTTCAAGAAATAAGTCTGGCCGAAGAAAAAGATTTGCAATTTAAAACCATCTGAATAGGTAAGAATAGATAGGTGCACGAAGAGGTGCACAGGAAGAAGGGGAAGGCCGAGAAAACAGATGCACAAGCGCTAGAAGAGACTGGCCAACATTCGCTTATTCGAAGGGTGGCCTGGCCGGCTTGAACCCCCACGGGAAACCTGGCTGGCCGCAATCCTGGCGTGGCACGGCCCTGGGCACCCCAGGCACCGCCGACAGCCGGGCGCCCCCACCCCGCCCCCACCCGCACCACGGCCCGAGCTTAGGCGTCGTCGGGGACGCAAAGGACCCCCGCCCTGGCCCCAGGGCCTCGCGGCTGCGTCTGCTCACCGAGTCTAAGATCCAGCGGACACCACGGCTGCAGGCCGCTACCAAGGCCCCGCAGCGCCACCATGATCCCCAGGCCACCGGCTCGCCGCCGCCGTGCTCAACTTTCAAAGCTCGCTCCCGCGCGCGCGCCGAGTCGTTCCTGCGGACCAATCACAACGTACAGAATTTCCCACCGGCCAATCACCGCACCGAGCCGTTTCCATTCGCTCAACCAATCACCTGCGTCGTCCGCCGCACGCTCAGAGAACTGGGCGGGCCGAAAAGTGGAAGCCAAACAAGGCTCCTGCGGGTGACTTTTCCGCTAATTCGTTCAAGGAGCCAGGGCCTGAGTTAAACCCTAACAGCGTTTTTCCCGCTTCGTTTTTCTTCAGTGGGGGAATCTAAAGGGTATCCGAGACAGGGTACTTCCGGTGGTAACTGTCACCTTTGCCCTCGTCAGGCGACATTTCGCGTGCGTGTCAAAGGGCTGCCTTTCCTGTCAGACAGCACTGGAACCGCGTAATATCCGAATGTGAAAGGCAGCCCAACGTGTATCGAGCTAAAGCAATAAGGGAAAGTAGCCGAAAGCACTCCGAGAAGACGACTGCAGTTCTGTGGACTGCGGGCATGCGTGGGCCCAGAGCCTGTCCCAGCGAAGTAGCAGCTGCCATGCCGACGGCGGGAGCGCCGGCCGCGCTCTCCCTGCGCATGCGCAGCGAGCTGTCCTCCTGGAGGCCGGGAGGCCCAGGAGCGGAGATAGGGGGTGCGCATGCGCGCCGCTGCTCCAGCGCATCCGGGCTGGAGCTCGCCCGCCCCCTCCCCCGCCCGGAGCCGCCGAAGCGCCTCGGTGGGTTGCACCGCCGGAGGCTGGGCAGCTCTTAGCGCTGCTCGGCGCTGGACCCCACCCGGCCCGCGCAGGCCAAGCACACCCGGCCCTGTGCGGCTGCCCCCCCGCAGCATTGCACGGCCGACCCTCGCCCGCCCACTGCCACCGGCTGCTGGACTGGCTGGGACTGGCTCGGCGCAGGGCACTGCTCCTCGGTGCATTGCTGCTCGGGCGCCGCAGCCCGCAGCCGCCTGCCTCCCCCGGCCGTGCCCCTCCCCCGTGGAGCCGGCTGTCGGTCGGCGCCCACTGCCCGGCGGCAGCGGCAGAGCCAGGAAGCGCCGCGGCGGCCGAGCGCGCTCGCGCATAGGGCCCTCTGGCCTTCCTTACCTAGGGCAGCCCGCGCCCCGGTGCGAGGGAGCGGTCCTTACCGAGACCCGCCCGGCCCGGCGGTGCAATGAGCTTCTTCGGCTTCGGGCAGAGCGTGGAGGTGGAAATCCTTCTGAACGATGCGGAGAGTAGGAAGCGGGCCGAGCACAAGACGGAGGACGGGAAGAAGGAGAAATATTTCCTCTTCTACGACGGGGAGACTGTCTCCGGGAAGGTGAGCCTTGCCCTCAAGAACCCCAACAAGCGGCTGGAGCACCAGGGCATCAAAATCGAGTTCATCGGGCAGATCGGTGAGTCGACCCCGGGGACCCCGTCCCCCAGCGCCGACAGCCGGCCGGGGAGCAGGGTGATTCAGGGCCCAGCTCCGGCGAGGCCTGTCACAGTCGCTTGTCAACTGCAGTCTGAGGCCTGGGGTTCAGCTACAAGTCCCGCCCGTGGGCGACTCCCCCTGCGTTACTGTCCTGCCAAAAGTGACAGCGCGCTGCCAGGGAGATGGGGACGGCGAGGGCGGGAGGAAGCACCCTGCTGTGCCTCGTGGGATGGGTGCCTTGCCTATGGGTTCTCCCCATTGTTTCCAGCGTGCACTTGGCTTTGCTTCTTGTCCGCAGGATCTGAGTGAGGTGCTCTGGCCATAGCCTGCAGGTGGGTTTGTTAGGGGGAGACCACTCTGCCAATACTGGCTCTCCCATCACCCGGTCATCTGCAACTGCCAGACGCAAAGTGAGGCTGGTCCACCGAGCCCCACTTCCCAGCGCCCCCACCAACCCGTTTTTCTCTTCAGATGTGGTGTGTGAGAGCTAACCAGTTCTCTCTTACCTCACCTCAACCCTGAACTACCTATGCTTGTACATGTTTCCAGAAAGAAGACCCGTAATCTTCAGTCTAAATCTGACTACCTAGGCTGCGTTTCTTAGACGTCTTTATTAGAATGCGAGTTTTCAGTTACCACATTTTCTCTTTAAAGACAAAGAAATGGTGTTTCCAAAAACCACAATTAAGTGATCAGAGTTTCTCAATGCTTTAAACATGATTATTAGTCATTAGAACTAGACAGCGCCAGACACAGTGGCTGATGCCTGCAATCCCAGCATTTTGGAAGGCTGAAGTGGGAGGATTGCTTGAGGCCAGGAGTTGGAGACCAGCCTGGGCAATATAGCAAGACCTGTCTCTACCCCCCAAAAATTTTCCTAGTTAGCTGGGCTTGGTGGCATACCTGTAGTCCTAGCTTCTCGGGAGGCTAAGATGGGAGGATTGCTTGAACCCAGGAGTTGCAGGCAGCAGTGAGCTGTAATGACACCACAGCACTCCAGCCTGGGTGACAACCAGCAAGACCCTGTCTCAAAAAAATAAACAAATAAGCAAATAAGAACTAGACAGTAAAAGGCAGTAATAGTAAAGGGATTTGGGGAGCTCCCAGTCAAGACTGGGTTATCTCCAATTCTAAGCCTTATTTAGACTCTTGTGTATTATTAAAATGCGTGGGTACTTTTAAAATAAGTGTTTTTGTCATTAAGTTAGGAGTAGAATCACAGTAAATACTCTGTGAGCTACAGAGCTCTGGTAGAGAATCCATACCTATACCACACACTGCATGCATAACTGTTTTCAGAGACTTCCTTGGGGAATCTTTGTTAAACTCTCTCTCATATCCTGAGAGTTTAGCAAAGAATTTGCCCTCTCCTTTTCAGAGTTAGGAAACACTGAGACACAGGTAGGGGAAACCCTAGGAAAAGGAGGCCTTGTGGCCTGGCTCTTGGGTTCACTGCTCAGCCTCAAGCATTTTGCCTCTGGTGTTGAAGAACATGAAATCGGGTTGAAGACTAACTGATCCTATAGGAAGCTCTTTGTCGTCATTTTAAAGCCAGAATATGAAAGGCCTGTTAGTGTACCAGAAAAGGGGCTGAAGGGTGAGTTCCATGCCTTCTGCTTTCCTGCTTCAGGGTCCAGTGGTGGGGTGGATGGCAAGGTTCCTCAGCAGCAGCACTGTGATGTCTGGCGTCGTTTGGCACGTTGTCCTCGATGTTTAGCAGCATTCCTAGCCTCTACTGAGGAGACAAGCGTAGCATCCCCCACTCGTGACCACAGAAATGTCTTGAGATATTGCTTTATATCCCCTGGAGGGTAAAATCATCTCTAATAAAGAACCCTGGGATAAACAGGATGAGTCCGAAGCATATTATGCTAAGCATAGTAACTAGTCGAGAAATCCTTGCCTACTGAGAAAGGGTATTTTTTAGTAGCAGTTTTAAAGTTATTGCATTGATTCTTTGGCTCCATAATAATAGTGTTGACAAACATGTTTAATCTGTGTCTACACCATCACTCCCAGGTGGTGGTACCTTGCCAGTATGTGAAAGATAATCCAGAATGTCTTCTGCCCCAGACAGTGTGAAATGAGCTGTTCTACGAATGGTGTCAAGGCCTTCCTCTGGTCTAAATGAAAGGGAGTTGAAGAAGCTGCTTGCTGTGCCTGCCCCACCTGATTTCTTGTCTAACTCCTTACTCCCGAGACATCCATCATCCCTGCTGAATTTTCTCAGAACCTTTTGTTGCTTCCACTGGTAACTCTTCCTGGGCCCTTGGGCACCCTGGGTTGAAGTGACCATGAGACTTTGGGGGAATTTAGCCACTCTCTGGGCCTCGGCTTTCTCAGCTGTCAAGCAAGGAAAATAAAATCACTTGGTGAGAATGTTGGGCATGCCAGGGGATCATGCATGACCCTTGTAGAGGGTTCCTTTATAAAATTATGGTAGTCGATGTAGTAAAATGTTTCCATTTCACAAATTGAGTTATCACTCACTGGCTTGCTGCCCTTCCTCCTATACCTGTTTTACCTGAATAAGATTGCCCTGTCTACTGATAGGGAGTGCATGTTTCAACCCTTTGCCTTAAATCTCTTACTTTGACCACATGGGCCAGTCTCAGTTGGTGTTGTAGATGGAACCAATCCCAGCTTTGTGCTGAAGTATATTGTTCACGCACAATTATCCATGGTTACATAAGGGCGTGGAAATAGAATAACACAGAATGATGGACAATGTGTTTCTTCTTGTTTGGCTTTGGAATGTATTTCTTGATCAAGAACAAGGCATTAGAATAACCTTTGTAGTTCTATTTGATGTAAAAGGGAGTTTGTGTTCCTAAATGCACACATTGACAGGGAGTAAAGATGTACCAGGCTATTTGGAAGCACAGAGTGACTTTCCTTAGACTCTTATATTCCTCTTTTATCTTCCTGGTTCCCCGAAAGAAGCATGTTGTGCAGTATTTGTGTCATACACCTATGTCAGTCATTGTGAACTGAACTTGGGGCACCAGAGCAAGGCTAGTGAGTGAGTTTGCTGAAGTTGCGGTTGTGTGGTTTTCTCCTTCATTGCATTCTTTGATTACGTGTGAAATGGGCGGAACTTCAGTCTGTTCTGAGGTCTGGCTGGCGGGGGTGGCATATGGCAGTAATCAAGTTGATAGCACTGAGCTCTGTCCCTCTTCCTTGTTGATTTGGAGGCAGGCAGGCAGAGGTGTCACTTTTATCCTGTCACTTGCTGTGGCAGTCTCATCTGTACCGATGACTTATTTTCTTTATTTTTTATTTAAAACCATTTTTGAGACACGGTCTCACTCCATCACCCAGGCTAGAGTACAGTGCCATGATCACGGCTCACTGCAGCCTCAACCTCCTGGGCTCAAGCAATCCTCCCATCTCTGCCTCCCAAGTAGCCGAGACTACAGGTGCATGCCACCACACCCAGCTAAGTTTTTAAATTTTATGTAGAGACAGCGTCTTTCTTTATTGCCCAGGCTGATCTGGAACTCAAGCGATCCTCCTGCCTTGGCCTCCCGGAGTGCTGGGATTACATACATGAGTCACCGTGCTGAGCCCCATGAATTATATTCTGATGACTCCCAGACTGTTTCTTTGTCCTGACCCGACCTCTCTTCCGAGTTTCACACGTCTTTCCAGCTGTCTGCTAGACATGTCCCCTGGGATACCCCACAGGTGCCTCAGAAACACACGCAAACACAGACCCCTCTCTCTGCCTCTGCCCCAGCCACAGCCCTACTGCTCCTTTTCTCCCATTTCGGCCTATGTCACCTGGGATCATTTAGCCTCAGAAATCTAGAAGTCATTTTGAAGTCTTGGCTTCTCCTCCCACACATGCAGTTGGCTGCTAAGTTTTGGCCTTCTCTGCTAGCTCTGCAGTATATCTCAAACCAGCGGTCTCTTTATTCTCAATGCCACTGCCTTTTGTTTTCTGTATGTAGCAGCTTCCTAACTGGTCTTCCTGCCTTTGTCTTCCTCCCCTTTCAGGTCATTTTCTGTGAGGATGAAGTTTCTTAAAGGCAGTTCTATCATTGTCAGTCCTTCCTTAAAATTCTTCTCGCCTCCCTGTTGGTTAATGGGGGAAAGTATATCCAAATCCCTCCTGCTCTGGCTCTGCCTCTCTTTCCAGTGTTGTCTCCCCCTAGCCCTTCACTCTCACCACTTGTAGGTTCCAGAAACTATCCTTTTCTTCTAGAATCTTGGTATTTTCCCTTTGTGTAGTAACATCTTTCTGCAAGATATAACTAACCTTCCACACAAGCTCTTACTCCTTCAAAGCTAACATCACATCCATCAGAACGTCTTCTCCGACTTCCCCAGGCCGACTTAAGTGCTTCCTCCACTGTTCTTCCAGAGGCCTCATTAATACCTCTTTTCAAGCAGGGTATGACAAGGTTGCGACTTTTTTTTCAACTTGTCTGTCTGTCTTACTAATTTCTGAGCACCTGAGATCCAGGGACTGCCTTCAGCCCATCGTTAGTGCAGTGGCTAGCACGTAGAAGCTGCCTAGTAAATATTTGTCAAATGGATACATTGGTCAGATCTAAGAATTTACAAAAACTATTCTTTGTTTTTTGTTTTTTTTCCCTCATCTCTTCCCAGATAAGCAAGAGTTATTTTAATGAAAGAAAGACAGAATTCAGGTTTGCTCTGGTGGTTGAGCGGCTGAGCTTCCTGCCTTTGTTACGGAGGAGGCACTGGTGAGCAACATGTAGCTGCCCATCAAGGCCACTCAGAACTCGGTGACTCACCAGCTGCCGTGTCCCCACTGGGGCTGCATCCTCACTGGGGGAACTGGGATAAGGAAGCATTAAAGCTGATGTCAGTTTACCTGCCTTTACATCTTTCTTTCCGCACACTCTCCTGTGCCAAGTTGAAACTGATTTCCCCTTGCGTGTGAGAACGTGGTTGTCAGACATCTGGTCCATTTGGTCCTGCATCGCTGCTCAGATATGGCAGTTTGAGCGTTGCCCCCTGAGACTATAAGACCTTATTTATTCCCTTATGTGGTGGACGTTTTTCTGTAATCCTCTGCAAGTTGTTGAGCCACACTGGGATCCTTCCTGTGCCTAGGACACTTCTCCAGTGGCTTGGTCTGTGTTCTCACAGTGCCAGCAAATGTGGTGAGAGCATCTCTCGGGTCAGGCCCATGGGATAGAAAGATCTAAGACCTAGTCACCCTAATGGCCCACGGTTTTAGAAAGATGCAGTAGTCTATGAGGATCACTGCAAGGAAAAGCTGTAATTGTGAGAAGAAGAGACCACTGTTGAGCTGGAATCCTTTGGGGAGCACCGGTGAAGGTTAGAAAGCAGACCTGGGCCGCCTTGGAGACTAATGGGGTTAAATAAACCAGACGTAATTAGAAGGTCAGACGTGCGGAGGAGGGCAGACAGGAACATCCCTGTACTCCAAAGCCAACAGACATCATCTGGATTTTTTTTTTTAAGGTTCAAGCCTATACTTTAAAAAACTCCTGGGGCTTTCTGTGTTTTAATTCATTAGCCCTTGAAACACTAAGTAAAAGGCACATTAAGATGAGAGGGATTGATTCTGGCCTCCTTAACAAGCTGCTGGTGGGACTGGAGCAGAGCTGTGGCTGGCAAGGCGTGGGCCGCCCAGAGGTGCCAGTGCTTGCAGGTTTCCCAGGGTTGGCAGACAGGAGTAGGGTGTGGCAAGCACGAATCCCGACAGTGACCAGCCAGCAGACAGTGGCTGGGAGGGTCCGATGGAGAGGAGGCTCTTTGGAGGGTTTTGTTTTGTTGTTGAGGTGGAGTCTTGCTCTGTCGCCCAGGCTAGAGTGCAGTGGCGCATTCTCAGCTCACCGCAACCTCCGCCTCCCGGATTCAAGCGATTCTCCTGCCTCAACCTCCTGAGTAGCTGGGATTACGGACGCCCACCACCGCGTCTGGCTAATTTGTGTATTTTTAGTAGTGACAGAGTTTCACCATCTTGGCCAGGCTGGTCTCAATCCTGACCTCATTATCCACCTGCCTTGGCCTCCCAAAGTGCTGGGATTACAGGCGTGAGCCACTACGCCTGGTCTTTGGAGGTCTTTTTACGCTTTGCTGACTTAGGTTTCTTCTAAAACTGCACAAGGCCTAGACTAAACATGGCCTCAGCCAAGCAGCAAAGCTCAGGGCAGCTGTCGTGAGTTACCTGTGATGCAAAGCTGGCTCTGTTTCCTTCCAGAATGGCAAATTCACTTCTCAACTGTTGGTGGCAAGTTTCACCATGAAAACATCCTGAGTACAAAAGTTATTTCCTCCTGTTGGACTGAGAAGGAAACCAAAGACAGGATAGTTATCTTAACCAAAAACTTACTCAGTTCCTACTTCTAGCCTGACACGTCTGATCTCTGAGGACTGGTGGTTGGGAAGAATGAAAGATGACTTGTGGTTGCTTCTTTGGGATGGAATAGAGGCTATTTACAGTCTCTTTAGGGCCCAGACCTCTTGTGAGAACAGCCTTGGATATTTGATTTAATGTTTGCAAGAGGAAACCAAACTTTCTGGCAAATAGGAAGCACCGCTGTGTCTGCCCTTTGCCCCACAGTGTTTGCAGACGTATTGCAGATGGCTTATAAAGGACAGATTTAAAAGGCTGGGCCAGCCCTGCTCTGACTGCACACTGACCACTCCTCCATGACATTTGATGTCAGAGCTGATACGAATGTGTGTCCCGGAGGAAAGGCACTAGGGAGAACATGATGCTATGCAAGGAATGACTTCTGCTCCAGGTCCCCTGCTGGGGCCGGAGGAACCTTCTGCACTGTTGCTGGGCTCCACAATGCTGGCAGCCTGAGTGCTCTCTATGCCTGCTCTGTTTTGTTTATTTCTGATGTTGCCTTTGAGCTATGTGATCACATTTGTGTATTTTTCCATCCTTTTCTTCTCCTCTTCCTCTTGACTCTGGACCATTGATTCTGGACATTGGGACCTTGCTCTGCCTGCTTCTGTCCCCTGAAACTATGGCCAGAATCTAGTACTTAGAAACTGAGATACCAGGTTCCCAAGTCAAGGTTTCGGTTTCCACGTGGAAGCCAACACCGTCAACCAGGACTCATGCAACCAGAGTAAGCAGAGGAGTCTCCGTCCCTGGGGCTGGCCGCAGCTCCGCTTCCACCTGTTGTGCGCTTCTGACTTTTATTGGGGGGCACAATTACTGGATTGCTCACTTTCCCCCCATAGTTTGGAACTGCCACCTCCCACTCGGATGCTTTGTGGATTATCACTCACTAACCAGAATGCTGCCTACTATTGAAACCATTGAGTGTTTGGAAGGGAAGGTCATTGTTTGTAATAAAAGACTGTGGCTGATTGTAGTTACACGGGAAGTCAGCCACAAGCCACAGGCGCACAATACATTGTGAATTCATACAGAATTGTCATCACTAGTGTGGGATCCCACAGACTCCAATCTGTGGACTTGCCTCGTCCTCCCCAAGCAGCAAACAGCAGAGGCAATGAGTGTACTCTGCCTGCTCTGTGTTCCCGATTCGTCTGCCCTGCTGCAAGTTGCGGTCTAGCGCGGGACTTGAATACAGAATGCTTGAGGCGTGGTGGCTTGAACTGTAATGTGGCCATGCGTAGCCACAGTCAATATTAAGAGCTTACCTCGGCCGGGCGCGGTGGCTCACGCCTGTAATCCCAGCACTTTGGGAGGCCTAGGCGGGCAGATCACGAGGTCAGGAGAACAAGACCATCCTGGCTAACACGGTGAAACCCTGTCTTACTAAAAATACAGAAAAATTAGCTGGACCTGGTGGCGTGTCAGCCCGTCAGTCTCAGCTATTTGGGAGGCTGAGGCAGGAGAATTGCTTGAACCCAGGAGGCGGAGGTTGCAGTGAGTCGAGATCACGCTACTGCACTCCAGCCTGGGTGACAGAGCGAGACTCTGTCTCAAAAAACAAACGAAACAAAGCTCACTTCTGCAGGGCCGGGCTCACTTCTGCAGGCCACCAGGGAGCTGGGGATGTGGGCCTTACCTTTAAAGGGCCTGCAGTCCAAAGTGGGAGTGGAGGAGACTATGTATATAGCAAAACTTAGATAGAATATAAGCAAACATAAAATAATACAGGACAAATGGGTGGCATGAACTTATCATCGACAAATACCAGAACTGTTTCCCGAAGAGGATAAATTTAGAGCAATGCTTCTCCAAGTGTGGTAGCAGCAGTCCTGGGGAGCTTATTAGAAATGTCAGTTCTCAGGCCCCACCTCAGACCCCTGAATCAGAAACACTAGGGTGGGGCCCAGCGATCTGTGTGCTGACCAGACCTCTCAGTGACTCTGATGCACACTGAAGTTTGACACTCCCTGATTTCAGTGGAGGGAATAACATGAAAGTGTCCATGTTCCATTGGCCACATGCCTTCCTTTTGGAGTAATAGCAGCAGCTAGTAATGATGTTTCTGGGTGTTTGCTGTGTACTAGGTACTGTTCTAAGTCTTTTACCTATATCACCCCTGCTACTTCACACAGAGCCTTGTGAAGTAGGTTGTGTCATGACCTGCATTATACCAGCTGATAGAAATAGATGCAGTCCAGAAGGAGACCTGCTCTAGTCTCAGCTCTGCAGCCAGCTCTGCGACTCCAGGCCAGTCAGTTAACCATGCTGTACCTGGGTTTCCATCATTTTTAAATTGGGGTGATAAGACCTGTCTTAGCTGTCTCAGAAGATTTTTATTATAAGGATGATATGATTAAATAGCTATGTCCTTTCAGAAGTTGGAAGTGTTAAATGCTGTTTAAAGAAGTGTGGCATTTCTTATATTGGCTTCCATGACTTGTCCCTTATTAAAGATGGTGTCCAAGTGTCTTGGAGCAGGATTATTTTGGGTTCCTTTTCTGCCACGGGACTTCACTATGTAAGACAGAAGAGCCTTTGGAGAAGAAGGAGGGAGTGAAAGAGCAGAGGTCAAGGAAACAAAGCTGGAAGGGGTCTGTTCTGCAGGGAGGTCCTTCCGAAAAGCGGTGCCTCCAACCCGGAGCCCCTCACTTAGCCCGGCGTAGCTCAGGGTCTGATAAAGAAGGGCATTGCTCTGTCTCACCAGAACTCTACTACGATCGCGGGAACCACCATGAATTTGTGTCCCTGGTGAAGGACCTGGCCCGGCCTGGAGAGATCACCCAGTCGCAGGCCTTCGACTTTGAATTTACGCACGTGGAGAAGCCGTATGAGTCCTACACGGGGCAGAATGTGAAGCTACGGTAAGTTATGTCTGCTGGTTCCCCACCGTGCCCTAGAACCTGCCCCCTGTGGACGAGGACCTGAGGCTGTTCCTTCACAGGGGTCCTGAGAAGGAAGAGTGTTGTGAGCTGGAGCGTGCTGGTAAACCATTAACCGTAGGCCTTCTAGGAGGAAAGCGCCCCTAGTCTGTAGTGTGTGTCAGTTTCTGTAGGGTAAGTAGCCCCACCGCGGCCAACTTGAAGCTACCTAACGTTCCTAAAGGTAGAGGTGGGAGAGATGTGCTGTTATCATCGTCCGGAGACTCATGCCCTCAAGAGCAGAGAGTGTTGTAAAGGGCCGGAAAATAGGAAGTGATGAGATTTTAGCATGTCTTACCTTTGTGTTTAATAGGACTCATTTAATTGTGAGTTTACATAATTTAAATTTAAATAATTGCTGTGTTTAACAGCCAGCTCATAAAATTTCTGAAAGTTCAGCAGTCAGCCACCCCCAGCACACTCCTGCTGGCTGGGTGTCGGGAGATCCTGACCTGCTGTCCAGCTCTGCCACACAGCTGCAGTGTCATCTTCAGCTCTGTAACTCAGCTTTCTCACTTCAAAAGTGGGCAATAGATTTGGATTCTAATTCTAGATGTCCTCTTCTTTTGGGGGTGATAAGAAAATAAAATTCTTAAAATGTTGACACATAGGTACATGGATTGTTTTCACTGTTACAGTGTTGGAAACTCTGAGAATAGGGACTGATGCCGAGGTCTCTTGGGTGAAAAGAATCCACAGCAGATGTAGACTGTTAGGTGTAACCTTGAGGTTATGTGATCTACTGGGATAAAGCAGTCTCCCGTGTCGCTGTGAACACCTGATTCCAGGTCTCGATACCATCTCGTAAGATCAGCTTGTCTCCTCACCCGAGGACCTGAGTTTAGGATGGTACACACCACAGGAAGACCTTTAACTTCTTTTCTTTCTCTGTCCTCCCTTCTTGCATCAGAAGAGGGAAGGCTCGTTTTAAATCTTTGCAGAGGTGGTGGCTCACGCCTGTAATCCTGGCACTTCGGCCAGGAATTCAACACCAGCCTGGGCAACATTTTGAGACCCCATCTCTACCAGACAAAAATTTTTTAAAATTTTTTTAAAAGAAGAAAACAAATCTTTGCAGAGGGGTGTAAGACTGACGTTACACCCAGTAAAGACAGTGTTTCATAATTGCACCCAGAGAATGCAGCAACAGCGAGGATTATCTACTCATCATTTAAGTTTGACCGAGGGATTTATTATTTCATTTTTTTTTTCTTTTGCAGTCGATTTGTCTTAAGTGTTTGTACGGCAGAAAGAAAGGTGTTGAAAACAGTATAGTGGTGCCTTGAAAAATTAAACAGAATTACCACATGATCTAGCGATTCCATTTTGGATCCACTTCTGGATCCAAAAAATGGAAAGCAGGATCTTGAACGGATGTTTGTACACCCACATTCACAGCAGCATTATTCACAATAACCAAAAGGTAGAAACAACCCAACTGTCCATCAGTGGGTGAAGGGATAAAGGAAATGTGTTTTGTCCATACAGTGGACTATTACATAGCCTTCAAAAGGAAGAACATTCTGTCCTATGCTACAGCGTGGGTGAACCAAAAGGACATTATGCTGTGGGAAACAAGCCAGTCACAAAAGGACAAATACTGTCTGATTCTGTGTATATGAGGTACCCAGAGCAGTCAAATTCATAGAGACAGAAAGTAGAAAGGTAGAGGCCCAGGGCTGAGGGGAGGAGGAAATGGGGGCTGGTGTTTAATGAGTCGAGTTTCAGTGGTGGAAGGTGGAAAAGTTCTGGAGACCGATGGTGATGTTTGCACAACAATATGAATATCATTAATGCCACTGAACTGTATAATTAAAAATGGTTAAAGTGGTAAATTTTATGTTATGTGTATTTTGCCACAATAAAATAGAAGTGTTAATGTCCAAATCATGTGAAGACTTTAGGATTCATATTGTGAAAGAGAGGAGATAAAGATGGGAAAATTAGTTGAGGACGGTTTAAAGATGTAACTTCCAGATTAAAAGCTTTTTCTTATTACACAGGCAGAGGGAAAACATGAAAAGATTGTGGACTTCTTTTTTGTCTTTAGGCAGGGAAAAGGTTATTTTGGAAGATTAGAGTCCATACGTAGCATTTGGTAGATGGGAAAAGTATAGAGACAAAACTATCAGAAGGCTATTGTGAGGTCCTCAGAGTATGATTTTGGTGGCTGTAATGGGAACAGAGAGAAAGTGGCTGTTCTCACAAGAGGTCTGGGCCCTAAAGAGACTGTAAATAGCCTCTATTCCATCCCAAAGAAGCAACCACAAGGCATCTTTCATTCTTCCCAACCACCAGTCCTCAGAGATCAGACGTGTCAGGCTAGAAGTAGGAACTGAGTACGTTTTTGGTTAAGAAAACTATCCTGTCTTAGTTATTGCCAAGAGATTACCAGTGAGTGTAATCTCTGATTACAGAGATTACCAGTGAGTGGAGGCATGCAGATGGAGACAGAGGGTTCTCAGGAGGAAGAAATGATCTGGAGATAGGGTGATTCATCCAGCTCTGAGGGCAGGCTGACGTACTGGCAAAATAGAGAAAGCATAAAAGTTTACCAGACAATTGGAAGTGCAAACCTGGCACTAAGGACAGAGGGGACACTTAGAAATGTGCGGTCAGGACTGATCTGCTCAGAGGTCATCACTGATGTGTTTTTGAAGAAAGGGAGCACAGGGAGAGGAGAACCAGGACACACTGGGGGATGGCAGGAGGAGGAGAGGGGGTGAATCAGGGCAGCGCCCCTGTGGAACCACGGGAAGAGTGTTTCAAGGAAGACGTATTTCACGGGACGCAGAATCAAGGGCTGCTGGATTTGGCACCTGGGAGGCCGTGGGTTACTGACTCGAGGCGAGCGGTTTCTGTTGGGTGGTGGAGACAGAAGCAAGGGGTTGGGAGGAGTGGTTCGTGGAGAAGCCTCAGCCGTTGGTGCAGAACCTGCCTTGTGACAGTTGTCTCTGAAGAAAGAAAGGGAAAGTGTGGTAGGTCAAGAGGGTAAGGCCTGGAGAGGGTTCTTGGGATTGGTGACTTTGGAAACCTATTTTTTCAATCAGCTCAGAGGACAAAACCTTTAGCTAGAGGGAGATTGATGATCTTGGGGAAATCAGAATATGTAGAAGGATCCAGATGCTGGACCAAGGCTTCCACATTAGAAAATCATGTGGGAAGCTTTTCAAAATGCGAATGCCTGTGTCCCTTTCCAGGGCAATCACGTATCAGGTGTGCCCAGGCAGCAGGATTCTTAAAGCTGTCCTTTCCTGATTTCATTGGGCATCCACATGGAGAGTTCCTGTGACGCAGTGGGGAGGAGAGGTCTTGAGAGGGAGAGGTGCTGTTGGAGAGAGGATGGGTGAAGATGCAGAGACATGTTTAGGCCCTAAGTGAGGAACAAAGCAGAAAAAGGAGCACATTGTAAGCCTTGACTGGGAAGGCCTTCAGATTCTTAGTGGAGTAAAGGTCCGTGTCTTCCCAGACAGCGGGATGGGGAGTCTCGGGAGCCTGAGCAGTTAGAAGAGGGCTAGGAACAGATGTCTTAGGCGGTGTGATAGAGGTTACTGAGGTGAACCGAAAGGATCCCCAAGAAGCAGCCAGTGCCACACAGCAGATAGTAGCCGAAATGTGTAGTTGGTCTGGTTAGGATATCTTTATAACTTTATCTGGTAATGCTTGACAGATGGTGGGGATTATCTAAGTTTTATTTAAAATAAAATACAATTTATTACATTACATTAGATTATATTAAAATAATGTTTTATGGAGAAGGTAATACAATTAAAGAGCTCCTCCTCATTGAGTGTTAGCACAGGTGCTGGAAATGAGAGTGCTGCACTGGCGGGCCACAGAGGGCAGCTTGTTAAACTCTTCAGGACTGCGTCTCTGTCTTCTCTCTCATCCCCTCCACAGCAACGTCCTCCCCCAGGATCCTAGGTTCAGCCAGAGACTTGTTATTCAACAGACCAGGTCCTCTCTGCCTCTGTTGCATATAAGGTTTGCTCTTCTGGATTGCCCTTTTCTCCCTCCACACAGCACTGGATCACAGCATCTCAATTAGCCCTTTCCATGTGTTCCCATTTCTCTGTTTGCCTATCTGCCCTCTGTGAACTGTGAGCTTCCCATCAGACTGTATCTTATCCTGTGCTTAGCCCAGTGCTTAGCTCAATAAATGTTTGCAGAATGAATAGCTGACTTAATTTCTCTTTTTCCTAGTCCCCTCTTTTAATTTAAAAAAGGTTTATTGGGACACTTTAAAAAGGTTTATTGATTGAATATTGTTCAGTGAACAAACATGCAAAGATAAAAATACGAGACAGCCTCCTTTGCCCCAAAAACCAGGAGTTAGATGATGAAATAAAAGCTGTACACAAGGCCGGGCGCGGTGGCTCAAGCCTGTAATCCCAGCACTTTGGGAGGCCGAGACGGGCGGATCACGAGGTCGGGAGATCGA